TAGTATGGTACCATAAATTTGATTTCATTCTTTAAAGAAGAAATCGGGAGAACTGCGGAAATTGCAAGATTAGAGGATTCCATTGCAGAGAGTAAGATTTTCATGATAAGTTTAATGAATTATGATTCAATATTTGGCGAAATGTCAAACCATTGATGACGATTCGCCCCACTGACGATTCGCCCCGTATCGACTCGGCCAATTTCAGTGACAATTCATCCCAGGTTAGAAAAGACTCATTACAACTTAAAACAACTATATAAAATGTCATTTAGGTTATCATGATTTAGAAATGATAAGATTGAATTGTTGGTATCTTTGTGATATGAAACGTTTTCTGTACTGGGACACTTCACGCCAGAGACACTGTATTCCTCAAACTTCCATGGTACGAAATACCCAAATATACCAGAGCATAACCAATTATAGCAGTATTCAATTTTGTGTGTATAAAATATAGATTTTTATAAGAAAACGAATTCATATTTATAAAAAAAACATGACTTATCCCAATGTCGATGAAAAATACAAAAGTAAGTTATTTTAATCAGTGAAATATTAATTGCAATTTTAAAATTATAATAATAATATTTTAGGAAAAAATACAATAAATAATGAGAAAGAAATAGTGGAGGCGGACGGGTTAAGTATTTTATCAGATTTCATAAAAATCGGGTGAAGTGTCTGCTAAAAATAGCTTGGGATGTCTGGGAAGTGAACTGACTGTAAATCTCTGAATCTAAATGTAAGAACAGAAATTGATCATTTTAACTATGAGATTATTAATCCCCTTCCGCAAAGGGGGAAGAGATCATAGGAATGGCCTGCGTCTGTCCAGCTGTCGTCCGTATCACATTTATGTCCACTCCATAACCTTTTAACCCATAAAAGTCTTTGAAATACCTTTGCAAAAGTGATCACCATTATTAGACAATGTGCAGAGCACAATAATTCAGTTGCTATCCCCAAGGTTACACTTCAAGGTCAAGTGTTAAAATGTCTATATTTTGTGTCCACTTCATAACTTTTAAACCGCTGAAATCTTTTTGAACTACATTGACACAAGTGATCACCATTATAAGGAGATGTGCCGAGCACATTAATCAAGTCACTACCAAGTACAGTGCCATGCTCAAAGGTTCAGTGTTAAAACTTATTTTTTATGTCCGCCCTATAACCTATTGACAATTCAAAGATTTTAAAATAACTTGACGCAATCCCCACAACGACGCAATCTGCAAAGCGCAACATCTAGGTTGCTGACCTCAAGATACATTCAGGTTGCTACCCCTAAGGTCAAAGACACTTAAAGGTCAAATGATACGTCCACTTTTTTCTTCTATTTCTTAACTTTTAATTTACAGAAAGTTTTTGAATGAATTTGCTTAAATGGCCACCGTAATTACATAATGCGCGAGGAGTCCAATATTCAGGTTGCTACCCCAAATGTCAAGGTCACATATAGAGATCGAAAGTTAAAAGTCAACAATTTTGTGGCCTCTTCGGAACTTTTTAAGTCTTTAAATTGTTTAATTATATTGGCAGACATAATCACCATCATCACCTACAGAGGACAGCAACCAGGTGGCTACCTCCAAGGTCAAGGTAATAACGTAACCGACAGTCATGTTAAAAAAGGACATATCATTAAAGCCCAAAGAACAGCAATTTTGCCTAAAACATGATGCAAATAAATTTGAAGTCAATCCTTGAAGTCTTAAATTACCCATGATATTGATCTAAAAATTTGAAAGGTTGTTTTGATGATTTCTAGGTTAAGTTTATATATGGTTCACCTGGAGTCAAAACACTAGGTCACGACTTGGATATAGAAAACCGCCTCAACTTTAGAGAATACTGTTTGGATCCAAACATCGTGAAAATTGTTCAGAAAGGTTGTTTTGTTGATTTCTAGGTCAAGTTCGAATATGAGTCATATGTGGTCAATAACTAGGTCACACAACCGGAATAAAATTGTTTAGGGCTTGCATAGTCAGTTGCGTGACATACAAGGATCATCGTGGCCCTCTTGTTTATATATGGTCGGAACATAAATTGAGAAATATTTTTCCTTTGGATGGAGTAAGAGGTCGTGCCTGCTCTGTATATTTTGAAAGAAAGAAATTAAAACATTTTGGCAGAACTATTACTTCTTTAAAGAATATATGCATCACATAGGTTTTGCTACGAACTTAAGAAAAACTGGAATGATAAGAGATCGTGATGGTTTAGAAAGTCTTCTTCACAGCAAAAGAAGGCTCAAGAATTAGCTACCGCAAAGAAATTGATAGCAGGAGTCCCGCATAAAATTTTTGGACTGGCAATTAGTTTTTTTATGTAAAAAAATAGTCTAAGAAATTTAGTAAAAAGCGTCCATATTCTACTGCCAATCGTTTTAACACAGTTTGTCTGATTGCGTTGCAAATTTGTTTTTGCACAATCTCGGAGGGTCTTCTTTGTACAAAACTGGTATCAAGCTCTAAACCAAATACTATGACTGTGAGATTGCCGCATGATATGCTCATTTTTATGGCCGGTGCTTTGTTCTTTCTCTTCTTAAAATGCAATTTTTGTTTCTTAAAATACACCAAATTCTAGAGTCAATCGTTAAAACATCTACTGTCTGATTCCAATGACGATTCGTTTTTGTACCACTTTGGAGGGTCTTCTTTGCACAAAATGTGAACCAAAGCCCTGACATAAACAATATGACCGTGACATTTCCGCAGCGCATGGTCATTTCTTGGACCGGCGGTTTGTTCAATCTCAATATGAATTTTCGTAAAAAAAAAAACATATCGAGCCTACCATTCAAACGCCATTAGTCCGATTCCGTTGCAAATTCGTTTTTTCCAACCTTGGAGGGTATTCTTTGCACAAAATGAGTATTAAAGCCCTAACCCAAACGATATCTCTTGGTGATTTCAGCGTCGCATGGCCATTTTTGTGAACGACAATTTGTTCTTTGTCTATGTAAAGTGTATAAAAACACGGTTATCTAGAGCCTTCCGTTAAAACACCATTATTCTGATTCCGTTGAAAATTCATTTATTGTACAACTTTATAGGGTCCTCTATGCACAATATGAGTATTAAAGCCCTAACCCTTAAACTTTGTCCGGGAGATTTCCGCGTGACTTGGCCATTTTTGTGCAGGCGATTTGCATTTTTCGATATAATCGTAGATTAACTGAAAATTTGTAAAGTCAAAACCTTCTTGAAACTGTATTTTACATTATTTACATCAGTCGCAACTCTATAAGAATAGAGCGGTTTGTGTCAAAAACGCGCTTTAGAGCAGGTTCATACAGGAATGGACGTCTAGCATAGTTAGCCATTGTAAAATGAACGATACGTACTTAAAAAAATAAAAAAATAAACTGAAATGATAAGAGATTTTGATGGTTTAGAAAGTCTTCTTCACAGCAATAGAAGAATCAAGAAATAGCTGCCGCAAGGAAATTGATAGCAAGAGGCCCGCATAAAATTGTCGCTTTTTGGACGGGCAATTAGTTTTTTATGTAAAAAAGGCCTAAGAAATTTAGTAAAAGCGAACATATTCTACAGCCAATCGTTTTAACACAATTTGTCTGATTCCGTTGCAAATTCGTTTTTGTGCAACCTCGGAGGGTTTTCTTTGTACAAAGATAGTATCAAAGCTCTAAACCAAATACTATGACTGTGAGATGGTATGCTCATTTTTATGGCCGGTGTTTTGTTCTTTCTCTATATAAAATGCATATTTTTCTTAAAATACACCATATTCAAGAGTCAACCGTCCAAACATCTTTTGTCTGATTCCAATGACGATTCGTTTTTGTACCACTTTGGAGGGTCTTCTTTGCACAAAATTAAAGAACCAAAGTTTGGGGACTTTTCTTTTGAAAATGTGTCAGAGTTAAAATGCATACATTTGCTTATTAGATATATATAATTCAAATTCAATTCGAATCTCTTTATTCTCCCATGTATTAATCAAATACATAAGGGATTAACATTCAATATTAAACCCTGAAAAAAGCAGTGAAATAGATATTTGGTTATTTTTAGAAAGATGTTTACTATAGAGATAAAATAATAATAAACATTTTAACTGTTTTAAAGCTATTAAATAAGCAAGTTTGCTTCTTTAAAAAGAAGCATGCGAGGGGTCTTTTTGCAGCTGTTGAAGATTTGTTCATTTCAAAAATATTTGGAGAGAGGTTTTGCAATACGGGCATAAAGTATGTTTTATTAAATAATTTCAAGTCCCAGATTTACATTGATAATGATTGGAATAAAGAATATATACTGCTGCATGCCTCCAACCACAATATGGCAAGAAAATCAAACTTGAGAAAAAGTTGTGCCATTTTCGCCATTTGCGCAAAAAATCTCCTCTGAATATTTTAGTCATACCAGATCAAAAGCGAAAGTAGCAGCAAATTTTCGGTACACCGTTCACTCGGTCATATGATAGTGCTTCCTTATTTTCGGAACATGAAATAGTAAACAACATCGATTTATACAGTTTAATGGATTGAAAATGAAATGAATCATTGCTCGTAGTGTTAAGTAACGTAAATGATATATATGTTTATTTTTCGTTCAAGTTAAGTCGTATTTTGAGGCGGAGCATGCGCATAACACTGTTTGTATACTGATTCTGATGTTTTACATGCATTAGCTTCGATGTGATACGCAAAAATGGATGCCGCAAACAATCATTCTCAACACTGTGGAGAGGTCTGATGACCTCTCCATTAAACAAAAACACACAAATTAGTAAAAACTATTAATCTATCCGTCTGTTCTTAATTATTATTTGAAATGTATATTACACGTAAAGGGCGTACATAAAATTCACCCCCCGCCCCACCCCCTGATCTAGATAAAGTTTTAATATCCTTTGAGGCATTAGGAGAGAAAAAATATAATTAGTAAGGTACCCCATAATTTAGTACCTTGCCACCTAATAGTCTTGCGCAATATCTTTATTCCATAAGTTAGAGTGTCCTCCCTTTGCGGAAATAAACATTGCTCAGCTGTCAAACAAATAAATTTGCATATTTTTACGTGGATATTTATCAAAATAAAAAATGACTCTAAAGAAATATAGTATTATATTCATAAATAATATATCGTGTCATATTTTATTTCAGTAAAGATCAGTTCCGTCATATTTTTATGTTTTTCGAGCAGCATAGTTATTCGGGTCACGATCTCAGGGTGAAGGTCATTTTTGTTTTCCGACTCGACCCGAAGAAGCTAGTTTTTTTACATTATTTTGCTAGTTATTCATTGTAGAGTAGATCCATCCAATCAGACAATTATAATGTTTAACTTTTAATTCATGGTGTCATCCATTTTCACAATAAACATTATTTTTCTTTCGGTAATGTTTTGGTCACGTGACCATAAAAACTCTTAAACCGTAAACATTCACATTCACGGGAGTCAACATAGAAAAGTTTGAGACGGTATCGACGATGTTTATGTTCTATAATTTCACATCTAGATGACGATTTGCCGACAAAGAATAGTGGACATTGAAAGCAAGCATGTCTGGCTATAAATTTTGACAGTTATTTATTGCGATTTCAAACGATGAAACCAGAAAAAGGTGAGTTTAATTTGGTGTTGGTCGTAAGAGAAACTTATCGACCGTGTAACTTTATCTGGGGGAGCTAATAACGGAAACAGGACGTTTCGGCCCCAAACCAAATCGGCCCCAGTCGAAAAATCGGCCCCTGGACGTTTCGGCCCTTTTCCGAGAGACGTTTCGGCCCCACTATAGTATATTGCTTGATTGATTAACAACAATTAATTTAATAACAATTAAACAATTATGACACTTTAATTCTTTAAATAATTATTTATTATCTTTTGATCTCTTGAACCATTTAGATGTACGTTAATGTTTTTTAGATGTACGTTAATGTTTTTAAAGGTGTAACAAACAATAAAGGCAGGTTACTTAATTTATAAAACAAACCACTAAAACTTCTGGATTAAGAAAGTTAATTACAATTATTACTTAGAAAACATTATCTTTTGATCTTAATTAAACTATACGTAATTTTTTTCAAGGTGTAACTAATTAACTGTTTATAGCTTTATGCTAATTGGCGGTAAGTAATATCAGAGAAAACTTCAAAAGATATGAAAAAACGGTTTGCTATAATCTCATGATAATATTTTTAATTATTATTGCTATTAGATAATGATAGATGCTAGATGTTATAAAACTGATTGAAAAACTGAAACCAAATTATAAATGCTATGTACCTGCTATAGATAAGTTATAACATTCGAAAATAAAGTGTTTGTGCGTATAATTGTTGGAATAATTTCATTATATATAAAATTAAATTAGATACATTATTTGCTGGAAATTAACTGTGATTTAATACTTACAATCGGATTTTAAGTGTAAAAATTGTGACTGATAAACGGACAGAAATGTTTTCAAATAAAGTTTATGTTCTGTTCTGTTTGTATTGATTACTTTTCCCCTACTACTAATATAATCTAGTTTTTATACAAAATGATTAAATATATATCCCCGTACTGCCTCTTTCCGATCAGCTAACAGATTTTTCTACAATAACTGACAGTGAAATTATATTAAAAGAAATTCTCTTTCAATTCTGCGAATATTATCATTTTAGCTAATAAATGCACCAACTTTTTAAAATTTTACCTGAATTATTATTGTGAATCGAGGACAAATCATTACTGACCAATTTTCCTGTTCTTCAAAATTTCACAACCACTTTTCAATCAGTTAACAAAATATAAACTGTACCACATAAAAATTGTCATACAATGTTAAAATATAATCAGTTATGTATTATGGAGAAATTTTGACAAACTCAACTTCAGATAAATGGTAATAAACAATTTTAACCTAATTATAATGCCATTTTTTAATCTTGATATCTTTTTGCAGTGGTAAAGCTGTCACAATTGGGGTATGGATGTACATTTTAATTTGCATAACAGAAAAAGCATGTTCTCGTGAAATTTTTAGGATCATAAGGTCTATATGACACCATTCTAGTGAATGCTTACTGAAAAGTTATCAAAGATAATGTTTTTCCTTGTTTAAGTGACTGTTACTTTACTGATGTATTACCTTCCAATTAAGAATTGTATGGTTAAATATGTACATATTAAAATTATAGCTTTTGAAGTGCAGTATATATATTATGACTTCAAGATATTGAAACAGTTGTCCAACTTAATGTCCATTTCAGCAGACTGACAAAAAACTGAGTCTGTAAATCAATTATTTTTAGAAAATTATTGCGATTTGTAACTGGCTAAATATAGGATTAGTGAAAAACACACATTTCACATATTTTGAACTAAAATGCTAGCATTTTCTTTTTTATCGCCATAATTGACATTGCTGCTAATAAATGTAGTCAAGGTAAATGCAAGATGTGCTTACAGTTTGGTTACATGACAAATAAGGTCAAAAATAAAAAAATTCTAGGGATGATTGAAAAGTGGTTGTGATTGAAAACTGGCATATTAATTGATTCATTTAATCATTGAAATGCTATTAATATATCGGTTTAAAATACAGTACATATCATGGGGCCGATTTGGTAAAGGGCCGAAACGTCCGGGGCCGAAACGTCTTGGGTAGTTTGGGGCCGATACGTCTTGGGGCCGAAATGTCTCGAAATCCTAATAACCATGCGAACAGCTGGCAAATATTACACGTAACAGTAACATAGTGCATTTTTGTGTAAACACATTATAAACTGTGTGCATAGAATATTCTCTTGATAAAAGAATATCATTCTGAAACACGACTTCATGACTATGATTTATTCAATTATTGACAATGATTTGAAATACTGAATTGTTATGAATGGCCATATCCTTGATTAGTCATGGGTATATCATGGATAAGTCCCCAAGATCAAAATCTGTGGTATATAAAATTTTCACTTTGTTGAGGGGTGGTAGGTCTACATCAAGGCTGGCTGTGGACAGATGCGCTTATGTGGCCGTGGGTGCGAAAAAGTTTAAGTTTCTTGAAAATTGTGCCTATAATTGACCTTTGCATGTGTGAATATTTTGAATAATGGTATTTATTTCATATATTTATGAAATTTAAAAAGTGGAGGTGAAAAGACCTGGGTTTTGCGTGTGAAACATCCAGGGGTGAAACATCCAGGAGGTGTAAAGTCCAAACACCCTTGGGTGTGGGAGGGCTATCCCCTGCTATAGAGTGAGAAAACTCTGAAATTTTGAGGTTGGAAATGATTTCATTTCTTTGACATTCAAATGCTTTATATCATAGCCTTTTTACTTATTTAAGATTTCATATTCTATATTTTGCTCATTTATAATTAATATCATGCATAAAGGTGTATTAATATTATTCAATAATTATAGGATTTCAATTCAAACAATGAGTCTATATTCTAGATATTACAATTCAAATTTTTTCAAGGAATATAATTATAAATGCAACAGCCATACAGTATATACAAGATTAAAAAAAAACTTGTAAATCTTTTATCAATAACATGACCATTTGCCCCACTTAAATGACGTTTCGCCCCGCTTACTGATGATTCGCCCCACTTTACTGATGATTTGCCACACTTTACCTTAAGATTCGCCCCACCTTATTTGAAACATTTTCTTAAACCATTGGATTAAAATATATTTATGGTCTGGGTATATTTGCATGTATTTGGAAATTATATTAGAAAAATATCAGTTAAACACAACATGTTACTTATCTTATTAGATTTTGTATATTTCCATTTAACTTTCAGAGTTATATTTAATATTTCAAATTAATGTCATGAATAATTGAAACTGTGATAATTCATTAATTGTGTAATTTACTCATAATTATTCATTACTTAAAGCAGATTGTTATACATTGTAAAACTTACACAGATTGTTATACATTGTTTACAATTGTTTTTTCTGGTAATATTCTAAAATATAAGGATCTTACACCGGCTACCAGTACAGACCGAAATATCTAGCTCAAGGGTAACTGTTTATGGCGGTAACAAGGCTCTGCTGAGTTTTACACTAAATCATCACTAAATTGGTGTGAGTTGTCACTAAATCGGGGAGATATCGTCAGTGGGGTAAATCATTATCAATTAATTTTTATTTTTAGCTCACCTGTCACAAAGTGACAGGGTGATTTTTTGTGATCACTTTTTGTTCGTCCGTCGCCCGTAAACTTTTACTTTAAATGACATCTCCTCATAAACCACTAAGCCAATTTCATCCAAACTTCACAGGAATGTTCCTTTGGTGGTCACCTTTGAAAATTGTTCAAAGAATTTAATTCCATGCAGAACTCTGGTTGCCATGGCAAGCAAAAGAAAAAACTTTAAATATCTACTTCTAAAAAAGGAAAAGAGCTAGAGCTTAGATATTTGACATGAAACATCATCTAGTGAATGTCTACCAAGTTTATTCAAATAAAAGCCGTGGGTTCAAAATTTGCCTCGCTCCAGGGGGTCATTTATTTTCCCTATATGCATATAGTAAAAACTTAAAAAATCTTCTTTTAAAGAACCCAAAGAGCTAGAGAGCTGAGATATTTAGCATGAAACATCTTCTAATGGATGTCTACAAAGTTTGTTCAAATAAAAGCCCTGGGGTCAAAATTGGCCCCGCCCCAGGAGGTCATTGATTTTCCCTATATGCATGCATATAGTAAAAACTTAAAAATCTACTTTTAAAGAACCAAAAGAGCTAAAGCTAAGATATTTTTCAAATAAGAGCCCTGGGGTCAAAATTGGCCCCGCCCCGGGGGTCATTGATTTTACTTATATATGTGTATAGCAAAAACTTAAAATGTCTTCTTTGAAAAAAAACAAATAGCTAGTGTTTAGATATTTAGCATGAAACATCTTCAAGTGAGTGTCTACAAAGTTTGTTCAAATAAAAGCCCTGGGGTCAAAATTGGCCCCACCCCGGGGACATTGATTTTCCTTCTATGTGTATAGCAAAAACTTAAAAGTCTTCTTTGAAAAAACCTGAATAGCTAGAGTTTAGATAATAAGCGTGAAATATTTTCTAGTAATGGTCTACAAAGATTGTTCAAATAAAAGCCCTTGGGTCCAAACTGGCCCTGTCGCAGGTTTGTCATTGTTTTTAACTATATGTGTAAAGAAAAAACTTGAAAAAATTTTCTTTCAAAAAACCCAACAAGCTAGACCTTAAATGTTTAGCATGAAACATCTTCTAATGGGTTTCTACCAAGTATGTTCACATAAAAGCCCTGGGGTTTAAACTCAAGGCCCCACTCTAGGGGCCTATATACAGGTGAGCGACTTCAGGGCATCATGGCCTTCTTGTTAATCAATACAGACAATTTTAAAAACGACTGGAGGATTCTTAACAAACCTATGCTGAGAGAACGTTGTCACCATCTTCCTCGAAATGTTAACATAAACTGAAAACTGTCTGTCATAAGCATATCAAGAAAAATGACTGTTATAATTTCTATTTAAGGTCTTCCTCCACCTATAAAGCTAGAAAGTTGCTGTAGACCTTTATTGTGTTGACCAGTACGACATAAATCCCAATAATAATAAAAATAAAGATGTGATTCACATTAACAAACTTTGCTTCCAGGTTTAGAGGAAAAAAACATTCTTGTTTGACAAAAACATTTTTGTGTTGAAGTGATTTTTGTGTGGGTAGTGGGAGAGGAAACAAACACCATTTTATTTAAGACTTTGCATATATTAAAAAAAAGGATAATAAGGAAAAAAAAATTATGTAAACCCTTTATTTGTGAATGAGACCAGAAACAATAAACCTTTTTGTCCTTAAGGATTACATCACTCTGATAATAAACACTAAATTTAGTTCTTGTCTATAATCTACTGTTTAATTCATTGATAATACTTGAAAGTAGAACTTGTTAATCTGGTTTGAAAATATTTAATCCTGATCAAACAGGTCTAAATTTGACTCTATTTTACAATTGTTGACCATGTAATTGATTAAGAAGATCTATAATATGATAACAGAATAGGATTAGAGTTTAGAGATTAGGCCTATAGTTAAAGGGGCACAACTCCTGATAAGCGAAACAAGTTTTTTTCAAATTACAAATTTAAAGAAATTTAATTATAGATTAAGAATGTACAAATATTATTGCCAATTTAGGTTAAACTTATAAAAATCTGGAGACAAAGTGATCCCTCGGAGGCATTAATCACAACAAAATTACAAGAGAATTGCAGACTGACGGTTTGATTGAGTCTGTCTGTACATGAGGGATAATGAATACATGCAACATCCCTCACGCCCCCTAGCACCGGCTTGAGCGGTACTTAATTCTCAACACTTAATAGTTCTGGCATCAATGATCCCGATGGACCAGAAAAATATAACAACACTGAAGTGAATTATTAAACACGCATTATGCCACAGAAACGTATATTTTTTTTACTTATTTTAAACACCAAACATGAGTTTTATAACATTGAAATTATGGTTTAAGTTGTCAGATGCTTGTCACATGAAAAAAAGGAGTGCTGACAAAAAATGGAACAATTACAAACTCAGATAAACCAATTTATGCAAACCAGTCAGATACTGAGATTGATCAAACCCATTTTTTGACAAAATTTCACAATATGGCAAATGTGGTATTTTCCAAGCTTATCCCCAGTTATAAGCAAAATTTTACCCTGTTATAGTGCCTAAATTTATGTCTAAATATATCTCACATCTTAACTTGAGATGGGCCTGCATGGCTATATGGGCTAGGATATTGAAAAAAAAATGAGACGTCAAAAAATATCAAGAATTTTTAAATGCATAAAAAACATTATTTCTGACGTTTTTTTTTGTTTGTTTTTTTTAAGGCTTGGATGAAATGGAAGAAAAAGTGTATGACCCTCGGGATATGTTTGCGGAGATTGGACTGTTAATCACTGAGGCTCGAATGCCCGACTTGTCACGGAAAGGAAGAGTGGAAGGGCCACATTGTCCTCCGCTACAAGGGGTAAAAGGACATGAATGTGATCGGCACAAAGAACAGGTGAGTGACCCTCTTTTGCTTTAAGACCCTACATAGGTTTGACATTTGAAAATTGAAAAAATTCTCCAAAAGAAAAGGTCAACTCCTTTTCTTAGCTTATCATTTTGAATAAGGTTAGTATAGTAATATAGGGTTAACATAGAAGTTTGATTACCTCAAAGAACAGTTGACGTACATTTTTTGGCTTATCACAGATTGGGTTGACAAAGAAAATAATCGCCATGAAAAATACATATGTCAAATAAGGTTGGCTTAGAAATAATCGCCACATAAGATATTACAGATAAAGTTTACATAGAAACTTGATAGCCACTAAGAACAAGACTCACAAGGTGGACGTCCTTCCCGGAAGCCGTCATCTAATTAATACTTTATGCAATATTTACATTATAAATCATAAGACTTGATTGCATGTATTTTGTAGTGCCGTAAAGCAAGTGACTTGCTCGGTTTTCAAGAGATTCTGTGGCAGAACAAGATACCCATGCGAATTGACGTGCTACTGTTTCCAAATTGTGAACATGGCTACCTGGAAGAAACCATTGTAGAGGGCGCCACTTTTAGCTGTATGGACAATTTTGAATTGCTTGAGAGGTGGGATGTTCAGTTAGTAAAGAAAAGGTAAATAAATTTAACAACGTTTGTTTTAACCTTCGCACAACAGAACATGTAACTGCAAAGGTGGTGTACTGGTTACAAGTCTCCCTCTGTCTAGCTGTCACAGATACAGAATGATATTGGTTATATTCACTGATACAGAGTGATATTAGGGGTATTTCATTAAGAATCAAATTTTTGATATAATCTGCTGCAAATGCTTGTGCAGTCCTTATAAAGTGTCCATAAACATATCAAATATTGGTGCAGTGTCTAAAAATTTTAAATATTAAAAAGTGCAGTGACCAGAACATGTCTTATATTAGGTGCAGTGTCCATGAATGTGGAAACCAACATAGTGCGTTTGCGACCAGTCTGATCAGGATCCATGCTGTTTGCTATCAGTTTCTTTACTTCTTTACATATATAGAGTTTGTAAGCGAACAGCACAGATCCTGATCAGACTACGTGGATGCGCAGGCTGGTCTGGATCCATGCTGGTCACAAACGCGCTTTTGGTTTTGTCAAGGCGTGCCTCATTTTGTGTTTATTTCTTAGGTCACCAGAGAGACTCGAGGGTTTTGTCAGTGGCCGTATTCATCTGCAGGCTGTTAGAAGTTACCTTCACTTCTCGCAACTCAGTTCTTGGCTGATATCAGCAGGTGGGGCTATACCTTTCAGGGTGGTTTACAGGTATGTTATTGCTTTGCTTTTATAATAGTCTTCTACTCAGGTGCCCTTTCGTGCCTGAAATAATGCATGGAAGCTGGAACTTGGCCATATGACCAGAGCTGCATCAGTACTAAGGGTGTAGTACTTAAGTACCAGTACCAGTACTTGGCAAATTATGCAGTACCATTACCAGTACCAGTACTAGATTTAAGCTCGGTACTGCAGTACCAGTACTTTTTTTGGTGAAGTAATTAAGTATCAGTACCATTACTTTTATATATTCATCAAAGTTAGAATAAATACAGTGTCAAACAAATAATTGCAAATATTATTCAGCAAAGAAATAAAATCATAATTTACTTAAAAGTTAACATAACATATTTACAACTTTAAAGTTTTAACATATTTTTTACAAACAATATTTACAACATATATTCATGTCATATCTAATTGTTTAGTAACCAGTCAACTGTATAAATTAAAAGCAAACATCTTTCATTTAAAACACAACAGTCTTTTGTTGCCTTTCACACCTTCACACCTCTGTTCAATTTATACCAAAGTAGATAACAACTTTTTATGGTGGTAACAATATCACTTTTTTCACTTGAAATGGGATTATTTAGAATAGAAGAAATTAATTTGTGTTTATTTTGCTCTTTTACAAGTAAATACAAAGTAATAAAATATTTAAATGAGCATATTTTAGGGTAAAGAGTTATTGAGTCTGTTTATCTTAGTTTAATTTTTACTTAAAGTCTTTGGTGATTTTTATGATGAATACTATGTTAACATTTGAAGGAATATTGCAGCAGATTATCTTTAGATTTGATAACTTACTTTTTCACAAAAATAAAATATAGTTAATGTAATTTACAGCTTTATTTTATGAGAAAAATTGATGCTATTTTTAATTTTTATCAAAACCAAAAGTACTGGGTAATGCAGTAGCAGTACCACTTTTTAAGACAGTAATGCAGTACCAGTACCAGTAGTAGCAAAATTTTATAAGAGTAATTCAGTATCAGTACCAGTACTTGCAAAATTGCTGCAGTACGTACTGCAGTACCAGTACCAGTACCAGTAATGCAGCTCTGCATATGACCAATACTTTGTCGGTGCACAGGAAAACCCAATTAAAAAAAAAACAAATTATAGTAGTCTTACTGTAATGTTTTTCTGCCAAATAAAATTTAACATCGGCCAATATGATAGAAAATTTGTTATTTCCAGAACATTTTTTTTTCAAAATATTGGGCATTATATTTTTTACAATCTCTCATCCTTTATCGTTATGTACTAGCGAGCTCGACGAGCTGGCCCAAAGGGCCTGCTCGAAAGCGAGCTTTACGGTAACGCGAGTACCTGCTAAGTGATGGTTTTAAAAACTTTCGTCCGAAGTACCGAATTGGACACATCGCAACTTTTCGAATTTAAAGATAAGGATAAAAACTGAGGAATTCTGACTGAAAACGGATATGTAGACTGGTAACCTGTGCACGTCTATGGTAACCATAATTGGACAGGGAACCAGAATAACGGAAGCTGTGTATAAAATATCGAATTACAGTTTTAAAACGGAAAATGTAAAATGAAAATTGAAGGCGCCATTTTGTTTAAAAAATCTGATAAATATAAACATTTTTTTGTCGAATTTCGTTGTGAAAACTATCTAGAATGAAAGAAAATGGTCTAACTAAGAAAATGAATCCGAACACCAATATCTTTTATTCAGTCGTTAACGCTGTACAGACGTTTAAAGTATTGTTTACGTGACGTCACAATGTAGCCCCAAACAGCACGTGCAAAACAATCAAATCAAGTACACTATTTAAATGTCGCAAACGATTTAAGTTTTACATTTATTTCACTTTATTTAATAATTTAGTTTAATTTATTTAATAATCTTTATTTGGCTTGAAAAATTATAGAGTGAAATAAAATAAACGAACAAAGTTTTATCAACGTTTTCAAAACTCGTTATTCATTTAACGACAGGGGCGGTGCCATATTTAACACAGTACGTGTGACGTCACACGCACTCGTCACTGCATTTGAAATAAAAATGAGCGATTATTTCATACTATTTCCATTAAAAGTACATCGAGCTCGCTTTGAGGCTTTGCCTTTTTCATATTAAATTCTGGTTATGAATGATTAAAAAGTATTTAATACTGAAGATCGGAAATGACTAATTTATTACGATCATAGCAGATGTTAGATTTTTTTGGCAGGAAAGCATTAGACTACCTACACCTAGTTGCCCCTCACCTCTGAGGGTTCGAATCCCGACAGGGACTTGGATTCTTTCATGTGATGAAGCTATCCAGCTAGCTTACGGAACGTTGGTGGTTCTACTCGGGTGCCCATGGAGGTGCACCTGAGGTCTTCCTCCACCAGTAAAGCTGGAATGTAGCGATATGACCTATACTGTGTCGATGTGACGTAAAACCCAATCAAACAAACAAACAAAACCTACACCTAGTGAATTTCTGAAATAAACTAGTTACGGCTTATGATTTTTTGCTTGTTCATCTTCTTATTTTGGATTTTGCACCAGAATTAACCTTTTCTTCAAGAGGACTAAAATAATAAAATGAAAATATATAATAAATGATGGATATCAGTATTTTGTTACTAATCTTATCATAAGTTACATTTCTTAGTGTTTTTATTATTATATTTTCAGGATATATGCACCCGGTGAAGCGGTAGGCTACACTTTCAACAATCTACCAGAAGTTCATAATTTCCCGTCTGCTGAACTGGCAAATGTTGTGATGAGGTCTACAGTAGCTCATCTTCCGCGGCAGGATAAATTCATGTCCTTGTTTTGTAGGTCACATTCTCCAACGATTGAGCAACATCTTAGACACAATAAAATGGGCGGGGATGAAAGGAAACGAAGGACCACCCCTTTGGGTGGAGTAATAAATGAGCCACAGCCTTCAACATCCAAATGTCCAATCGACTTTGATACAAGAGACATAAATAGATACAAAACAAAATCTGAAAAGGGATTAAGCTTACCAGATCAGCAACAAATGAAGCAAAAGCCACCCATTGGTCCAAAAATAAAAGATGACAGTCAATTTAAATCGCGAAGTGGGCCTTGTCCAATGAGCAAAACACCGAAAAGGAAAGTAGATGATCTGTCTCCGACAATAAAATATTCGTATGACTTTCCAAAAGAAACAGACAGTCAAAGCTGTCAATGTGAACAGGTCCCAACTAGTCAAACTTCATTGTCAAATGTAAAACCAGTTGCCGTGACAACAAAACTATCTGTGATTCAAACACCTTCCATTACGTGTCAAACCTCTATAGGGAAAAACTATGACGATTTAAGAACACCTGAGAAAATATCTCATGCGAAAATTCATCCCTATCGCAAACCTGCCTCGTTGTCGGTTACAACAAATAATACACTTATAGGCAATAAAAGACTACCTAGTCCAAAAGTTTTAGTAACAGGTAGTAAAAAACCTGAGCCAACAGATTACAAAAAGCGATGCTTAGATCTGAATTTACAAGAAAACTCACTTGAATCGTCTGATAATTTCGTTGGTTTAGATGAAATCATTTCTGACGATCTACACGATCTCATCAAGCCTATAAGTCCGAGTGACTTCGAAGCTTACCTAACTAGTCTTTCAAATAAAGCTTCTAAAAAGCTGGGAGCTTCAAAACTTGATGATATTCCAACTACAAAATGTAGTTTCTTCCTTGGAGATGAAAGTGATTCTAAATATCTGGAGGAAAGGAGTAGCATTGAACCTAAAGAATGGGAAAAGACCATCAAGGATGTTACTTCTGCCAAAACCCAATGTCTTTCAAGTGATTTTAGCATTGATAACAAGAAACAACTCACACCTCAGAATTCGGAAGGAACTCATGTGCGTAAACTTTTTGTCGGGCCGGAGCCGGAACAAGAAAAAGGTTCTGTCTCAGTGCATCATGAAATATCAAAGGATATTGAAACAAATTCGACAAATGTAAGAACATCGTATTATACTACCAGTGAAAAAAGCCATGAAAGTTTACCTATAAAGGATGAAGTAGGCAACTTAAACAAAACTGATCTTTTGCAGCCAGAAAATGTCGCATTTTTAGATCTCCATACTCAAAAAAGTCTTTCAAGGGAAGCAACTAAAAGTTGCTCAGGGGAGAGCACTACGACTAGCAGTTCAAGAAATATAACTCAAAGTTGTGCTAAGAAAAGGGAGTTGACTCTAAAAACATTAAGCATTCCATGTAGTATAGGGGGAGATAATACTGCTATGAATTCTCTAGTCAGTAATCTTGAATGTATGGATATTGATGAAAATAATCCTATATCAAACATACCCTCCTCTGTAGATAATGAGGTGGAGAATCACTTTAAACAAGAACTATTTCAAAATGGTTTCAGTAAAAATAAAGCTGAACAAAGCGATGCTACAGAAAAAGCCGCAGAAAACTGTGATACAAGCCCAAACCGGGATTTATCTCTGTGTAAACAATTACTAAGGAGAGAATTTCAGCAAAATGTCAAAAATGTAAGTGGGTTTTTTTTGTGTGTTATTGTTGTAGGTTGTTTTTTTTTTAGAGTTTAATGTTTCACTGATATTGAATGAGTGTAAATTTAATGCTGAATTTATTGAACGAGTTGAATGAAATTATATTATGCAAGCCTCTGGCGGGCATAATATTATTTTATTCAACGAGGTCAATAAATTCAGTTATGAACTTACACAAATTTTATATTCTATTTATCATATACCAAAAGTAAAGACCGTTTGGAGTAAAAAGAAAAATTTTCCTTTAACACGTCTATAGTATAAAGCTAACATTTAGTGTGTCGTGACGCTATGTTTATATGACACAAATGACGTCATGTCAAAATATATGCATGGCAGTGCAATATTATTTTTACGGAGTCACAAAAACGGCAGGGGTATATGATAAATTGTAAAACCATTCCGTCACTTTAAAGATTAGTTTATATGGTTGCAGAAAGCTCCTGATGTCACTAGTTGCATTAAATCAGGCATGATTTCCCATTCACTTTAAATCTTGACTTTCACTGAGCTAGCTGGATAGCTACCTTGCAGTAAGGAATGAATAAAGTCTGGCTGGATTCGGACCTACAGTGGTACGGGAGTAGATTTTTTTGTGTGTTGCTCATAAACACATATTGAAAATGGCCCATGGCTTAATTTTGGAAAAATTATGTGGTATTTAAGGAAATTTGAAATATTTGTAAATTGAAAAACTATCTTATACATGACCTAAGTTTTATTTATGTGTATAATCATATAACCTTTAACTTAAAACTTAAAAATACTTTAGTTTTCGCAGAATTTAAAATAGTTTTATTTTGTTGATAGCAGTAGGAAATACTTGTTTTAAATTAGAGAAAAAAAGATTATTTTAGGTTGTAAATGGGATGTAATGAATTGGCCCCTGGTGTCAGGTGTTGTGCCGAAAGTTTAAAATAGTAAATGTCACATATCTATTTATATGACCAGTTTTATGACAGTTTTACGCTGAACCTGCTGAAATAGTGAAAGTGATTCAACCTTTGCCACCTTTAAAGAGCCAGACCAGCCTGTAGCCTGTGCCGCCATTAAAATGATGGGCCAGCCTGTAGCCTGTGCTGCCATTAAAATGATGGGCCAGTCTGTAGCTTGTGCCGCCATTTAAGAGCCAGACCAGCCTGTGCTGTCATTAAAATGATGGGCCAGTCTGTAGCTTGTGCCGCCATGTAAGAGCCAGACCAGCCTGTAGCCTGTGCTGTCATTAAAATGATGGGCCAGTCAGTAGCTTGTGCTGCATTTAAGAGCCAGACCAGCCTGTAGCCTGTGCTGTCATTATAATGATGGGCCAGTCTGTAGCTTGTGCCGCCATGTAAGAGCCAGACCAGCCTGTAGCCTGTGCTGTCATTAAAATGATGGGCCAGTCAGTAGCTTGTGCTGCATTTAAGAGCCAGACCAGCCTGTAGCCTTTGCTGTCATTAAAATGATGGGCCAGTCTGTAGCTTGTGCTTCATTTAAGAGCCATACCAGCCTGTAGCCTGTGCTGTCATTAAAATGATGGGCCAGTCTGTAGCTTGTGTCCCCATTTAAGAGCCAGACCAGCCTGTAGCCTGTGCTGTCATTAAAATGATGGGCCAGTCTGTAGCTTGTGCTGCATTAAGAGCCAGACCAGCCTGTAGCCTGTGCTGTCATTAAAATGATGGGCCAGTCTGTAGCTTATGCTGCATTTAAGAGCCAGACCAGCCTGTAGCCTGTGCTGTCATTATAATGATGGGCCAGTCTGTAGCTTGTGTCCCCATTTAAGAGCCAGACCAGCCTGTAGCCTGTGCTGTCATTAAAATGATGGGCCAGTCTGTAGCTTGTGCTGCATTTAAGAGCCAGACCAGCCTGTAGCCTGTGCTGTCATTAAAATGATGGGCCAGTCTGTAGCTTATGCTGCATTTAAGAGCCAGACCAGCCTGTAGCCTGTGCTGTCATTAAAATGATGGGCCAGTCTGTAGCTTGTGCCGCCATTTAAGAGCCAGACCAGCCTGTAGCCTGTGCTGTCATTAAAATGATGGGCCAGTCTGTAGCTTATGCCACCATTTAGAAAGACAGACCAGTCTGTAGCCTTTGCCACTATTAAAGTACTGGGCTAGTCTGTAGCCTTTGCCACCATTAAAATGTTGGGCCAGTCTGTAGCCTTTGCCACCATTAAAATGATGGGCAAGTCTGTAGCGTTTGCCACCTTTAAAGAGCCGGACCAGCCCGTAAATTCTTACAGTTTAACCAGGCATCATAAGCGAGAAACAAAAATTTGTATTTTGATTGTAAAATCTTTATAACTTCAAAGCGATTGTTCCAAATTTAAAGCAAGGCAAATCGAATATCATTTCAGCAGGTAAAGTATTCATCACTGGCTGTTGAAGAACATGTACATTGATTGATCTTTGTTTACAGGAGATGTTAACCCATTCAAATCAAGTTTATAAGAGTTTGCCGTCACCTGAAGATATCAAACAGTTTCAGTTTGTTATGGGACGTAGTGCCAGTGCTATTTTTAATGCCTCAACTGGTCTTCCATCTCGATCTAGTCCAGTATGTATTTATTTGTTGCCTTCATTTTTAAGTCAATTACGGTGCAGTCTTTCGGCTTGACTTTTTTCGAAGAAAAATTTCAAGGCATTGCTATAAGTCAGACTGTCGTTGCAGTCCAGACATTTTAAACATTGGCCAGTATGTTTTAATTTCTTAATGGATTATCTTCATACTGATACACAACAACCCATCCAACAAGGCTTTCAAGTAAACTTTACTAAAGTGTCCTTGACCTTCAATGTCAAATGTTTAAATTTTGCTTTATTTTGGTTATAAATTATTTATGAATGGACAGCCTTCATACTATTTTGGACACAACAATCTTTTGGACAAGACGTTCAAGTATATGAAATTGCTTATGACCTTCACCCATCAATGACCTTGATCTTGAAAGTCAAAATATTAAATTTACCTTTATTCATGTTGTAATATTAAATAAAGTTATAATTAGCTGTAACTCTGTTATTAAAAATGGATTGTCTTCCTACTTAAGCATTGCTCCCTTAAGGACAATCTCTTAAATAAAATCAAACTAAATTTAACATTGGTTTTCAAATGACCATGAACTTAAAGGTCAAATTATTGTCATTTCAGATTTTTGCCATAGATAATTGGCTATTACTTTTTGTACCCTGCCAAAGAAAAAAGTGGGATATAGAAATAGACTCTGTCTGTCAATCCATCAACTTCTCGTGTCTTGTCCATAATTAAGCCATTTGTTAAAGGTCAAAGCTTAACATGGTCATATATAGAGTGTATTTTGTGTCAGGTCCATAACTTTTTTACAGAAATTTAAATTTAGAAATGTTCACAATAATACAAAGTGTCATGCGCAACACCCGAACACCTTCCTCCACGGTCAATGTTACACTTCAAAGGTCAAAGCTTATCATGGTCTGTTGTAGGGTATATTTTGTGTTTGATCCATAATTTTTTCATCTATCATTATAATCATGGAATTTTGAAATTACATGGCACAAATGTTAACAATAATGAGACAACATCTCATGCGCAATACCAAGATGCCTACTCCAAGGTCAAGGTCACACTTGGAGGTCAAAGATTTAACATGTTCTGTTATAGGGTATATTTTTTGTCAGATCCATATCTTTTTTATAGATCAAGAGATTTTGAAATTTAACTTGGGACAAATGTTGACAATTATAAGATGACATGTCATGTGCAACATCCAGACCCCTGCCTAAAAGGTCAAGGTCAAAGCTTAACATGGTCTGTGACAGGGTGTGATGCTAAGTCAATCCATAGCAAATAAAATGTAATTGGTGAATTGTTGGCATATCTTGATCAATGAAAAAGTTATGAACCAGATACAAAATATACCCTTAACAGACCATATAACCCTGTACTGATTTCATATTTAATAGTGACATTTTGTGGTTTTTAAATGGTGATAACAACTATACAATTGTATTTCTGTATTTGTTGCATGTGCAGATCTAGCATTGATCAAGATTTTGCACTGAAATTCCAGAACCATACCACAATCTGTTGAAATAGAACAGTTAAATGCTTCCCTTAGGAGGGGGCTGTTGGTAACTCTGTTACAAGTTCTTGTTAAGAAATGAATTGATAAATGATTTTCTTCATACTTGGTCAGAACAATATTTTAGGAAAAGACATTTTAGAAGATTAAAATGAACTTGACCTTGACCTTTATTTGACCTTGATACTAATTTTTGCTATAATTAGTCATAACTTTGTTATTTATTCATTGATTAAATTACTACTTGGACAAAAAATACTAACTTACTCAACACTTACAAAACCGACATATTTAGTAATTCAAATATGACCTTCAAGGTCAATTAATGGAAGATTGCTTAAATTGTCTAAACTTTGTTATTTATTATATATATGGATTTTATTATTTATTTGACAAAAGAACACTTGTGACAAAACTGACCTGATTAATTCAAATATGACCTTGACCTTTAGAAGGCCTTGAGCTCAACATAGTTGTCATAATGGTGGTTTGTGCGTCGGAAGGACATCAATAATTAATGTATTTAATGAGATAAATAGTTTTTAAAAAAATCCCATGAGAAAAAACAGTTTTAAAATTGTGAGGAAACAAGTTTTCAAAAAGTGTGTGAAAATTTGTTTTAAAATAGTGGGAAAAAAAGTGGATAAGAAAATGAGTGAGAAAAAATAGTTCCAAAAGAGGTGAGAAAAAATATTTCCCAAAAAAGCGTGTGAAAGAAAAATATTTTGGCATATATCAGTCATCTGAGATTTGCTATTGTTGCATAAATTGATATTTTACAGGCTCCTATCAAAAAGAAATCTGCCACCCGATTTGATTATGACTGTTCATTAACAAATGTTAGGGCCATTAAAAAGTAAGTATTCATTATATACAATCCGTTTAATCTATTTAATTGATATTTAAATTTATGTACTGATTAATAGATAGTTTCAGGTTCTTCAAGTTCTTACAATATTTACCTCCCTTGCCAAATGTGGCACCCTTTTTTGGGAGGGGGAGGGGGCTGGGGGTCAATATTCAAAATAATGTAATTGACAAAATATGAAAACTTCAGTATGAACAGCTGATTTACGTGAATTGTTAAATTGTTTTATACATATAAAGGAAATTATCATTATAATAGCACCAAAATGTAGTTTTGATGTAGATGATAATATATGGGGAATGACCCACACAATAGCGGACAGGGGAGGTAATAATTGCTATGTGAAAAGCATCAATATGAAAAGAATAATGAGTAACATACCTTTTCGAATCTTTGTGTTCTTTTAGTATCCTTATGCCTAATTTACAAAAAAAAAATTTCAGTGTTGTAGAATAGTGCACGGTTCGAGTTCACATGCACAAGAATTTAATCAATCAAGCTTTAAAAACCAGAGTGGATAAATGTCAAAGCATTTGAATGATAGACTATGCAGTATTGTTCTACATCGCAACACAAGAAAAAACCGAAATCTATTTACATATTAATATGCTGATAAAAAAAAAATTTTTTTTTTTTTGAAAATATGTTGAACTAAATTGTGCGGAGGAGTAATTTTTCTTCATATCATTCGGTGTATTGATGTGTAGGCAATTTTTATTTTTATGCCACGCATATATCATGTATTAATACACTGGTCATGGACCTATCTATTTTAAATAAGAGGAACGTGATATGAAGCTTGTTAGAAATAATGGATAGTAAACAAGTGTAAGTTTAATACTGAATTTATTGAGACAATGTGGTACTTTTCAGCGCAATATCGTGCTCGAAGCTGACGTTACAATGTGAAGGTTGCTGTGATACAATAGAAGATCCGAAAATTCTCAGCACAAGTGCCCCAGCTTCCACTAATTGTCTTTTAGGAAATTTCGAGGTAAGTTTTGCTCGCCTGAGCCTGGCATAATATAATTTTATTCTACTCGTTCAATACCCTCAGTATTGATCCTACACTCATTCAATATCCTCAGTATTGATCCTACACTTATTCAATATCCTCTATATATTGTATGCTTGTGAATAAGATACTGAAATATGTCAATGAGATATAAGTGATATCACACTGTTTAAAACTAAGTGAAATATATGTTTATATAGTTTTGGTGCCCGTTCTGTATTTACAACTTACACCGACAGATAAAGCAAAGTGGAACATACAAAAATTTTATGATGTCATAATTATAAATTGGCATAGTTTGGTACAGACATTAAAGAGAGTACAATGAAAGATAGAAAGGAAACTTGTTTCTTTTTTTTAGTAGAATGGAATATATCTTGCTTCACTTATTAATTAATTTTCTGGAAAATACCTTACATCTCTCATCCTAGTGAGGTATATTCCATATTCACTCAAAACAAAAATATCCTCAGCACAGGTGAACGTTGCGTGGCCATGACTACACTATACCCCCGTTTCCCCTCTACAACCCAAAACCCTTAAACATCATTCAAACATCAGAAGTATTGACAAAAATCAATTGTATGAAAAAAAAAAAATTTATGACTCTTAAACGCGTGATCACCTGTGATCCTCAGTTCTTAAAAATCTCTCATCCTAGTGAGATATATTCCATATTCACTTGAAACAAAGTAACACCATCTTTATTTTCAGGAGTCTGTGTTGAATGGAAGGATCGAACCTGTTGGAGTGGTGGAAGGGTTCACGGTGGAAATCGGTGCCGGGGGTACTTTTTGTCCTAAACATGTCACACTGCCTGTGATCGCCTATTTCTTTCAACTATCAGATGACAACGCACCCTCGCCGTATCTGGTAAGATAATATTTTGATATCCGCGATTTAAATTCACAATTTATTCATTAAACATTATCCCAAAAATACATGTATGTGGATTTTTCACAATAAAAGGTCAACATTTGAGGGCTTATAAGGCTCTTTATGAAATAGACCATTAGTATGTAAACTATGTAGGTTTATTAAATATTCCCAATATTCTTAAAAGCAGCATACCTCAATATATATGTACTCACTAAGTCAGTAAGATCTGTATAAATCTCTTTTTTTTCTCAAGAAATATTTTTATAAGATTGTCCGTATAATACAATTCTATTCTGTTTATCAATATTTGTAATAGATATTGAAAATGTGACCGTTGTAGACCAATCCACTTTAAAGGGACTCCACTGAGGTTTAAAAGCCTTAAAACATAACATTTGAATTTCTGACATAAATGAGCTGGTGCACTTTTAACAGAAATATATGCAAAGATAGTTAAGAAATATAATATGAAATAAATTGAAAATCGTATTTTAATGATTTTCTTAGACCGATTTGAGTGAAAAGCGTTTAAACGCTTTTAATTTTTGGTCATTTTTTTTACAATTTGAATGATTATTCTGGAAAAACCAAGTGCGCGAATGATCTGAAATTTTGCACAAAGATTAGTGGTCTAAAAAAATATTTTCAGTCCCATCATGTCAAAATACCTCAGTGGAGTCCCTTTAACATCACAGAATGTTTAATTTTCATAAAGATATTGATTTAAGATATGCTTATGATGCAAAATACATAAATGGTACAATCCTGCTAAATCTAAAAAAAAAAATCTGTACACTATATTTGAAATATTTATTGAATGAGTACCCATCGTAGACCAATCTTCTTAAAGATGGGAGCGACGGCCTAGAGGTTAAGGTGTCTGCCTCTCAACCCCGGTTCGATCATGGGTTCAACCCTAATCAGGTCACGACCATGCTTTATGTGACGCCAGTACTGGTTGCTTCCAGGAAGTAGACTCGAAAGTGATTAATATAAATTGCAAGAACTTGTTTCGCAACCGAGCTTAAATAAATATGTTCAAGCCATCATTCTTCTTTAAGGTAAACATTGTAAAGGAACAATAGTGGGCAATTTTTTTGTTTGTCAACCCTACTACCCAGATTGAAAGAAAAGAAGAAGAGGGGTTTCTTTTTGTTGGTTGTTTTTTTTTTAATGAATATTTTAAGGCGAAAATTGAGAAGAATTATCAAAACTATGTCACAATAATATTATTTTGAAAGAAAAAAAAGAGTGCATTTTGAAATAAGTGACAAATTTGAAATATCTGCATGTACCTATATATTGTATAGAGGATATTGAATGAGTGTAAGTTCAATACTGAATTTATTGCACGAGTTGAATAAAATTATATTATGCGAGCCTGTGGCGAGCATAATATTAATTTATTCAACGAGTGCAATAAATTCAGTAATGAACTTACACAAATTTAATATTCTATTTATCACATACCCAAAATAAAGACCGTTTAAAGTGAAATAAGAGTCATTTTTCATTGACGCGCCTATAGTATAACACTAACATTTAGCGCGTCTTTACAATATGTTTGTATAAAGCTAATGACATCACGTCAAAATATATGCACGGCCGTGCAATACCATATTTACGGAGTCGCAAAATCGGCACGGGTGTGTGATAAAACATTTTCTTTAACCTAGCGACTGCTCAGGTCGGTCAACTCAGTGCAATAACTACATTGTAGTTAGCTCCTATTAAATTTAGAAGGACATTACCCATTACTGCACTAAGTTGACAAATTGTGGGGGGGGGGGGGGGGTTATTATCAAATGTTGAAGAAAATTACTTAAGTCCCTCAGTCAAATGATGTGAATGAAAGTATTATTGATGTCATTGATATTTTACAGGGATATGTGAATCTAGAACCATTGGGAAAGAGAGGCTACCATATACCAAGAACGGGAACGGTACAACTTGTAAGTTCTTATGTTTTATTCTTTGTCGAACTATCACATCATAATAACAGCAGGCCGCAGTGAGTAAACATTCTGTTTGTTGATCTAAATTATTGCACATAATACACCCATTAACAATCTCTATAATGAACTACATTTACGTAAATAACCAAAGTATGCTTTCCCGCCCCAACAAAATTGAACATCAGCCAATGTTGTAGCAAATCTATTATTTCGGGAAAGTTGCTTTTTAAAATCTTTGGCATTAGATTATTTACAATTACTCACCCTTTATAGCTATGTACTTTATAAATTCTGGTTATGAACGCTAAAAAATTATTGAAAACCTAAGATAATTGACCGATGTTAGACTAATATTTTTGGTGGGAAAGCATTACAATAAGGCTACTTTAAAAATTGAAATTAATAGAGGTAATAAATGATTGAAGAGGGAATGAATAATAAACAGTTAAAGAAGGCATGCCTCATGATATTTTAGCTTTGTATAATATAGTGTGTATAAAACAAAATATTGTGATAAATTGTTAAATATTTGAATATTTTATACATGTTAATATTTGATGTTTTCTTTCTCATTTGATGCACAGTCACAAAAATTGTACATGCATATCAATGTGAAACCTGCCTTTTCAGGCCCAGTTCAGCACAAATAAGAAATTGTGTAGCCCAAAATATCAGGTGGCAGAAGACTATTTAAAGCGACATTATGCCAATCCAAGGTTATATAACAGTGAACAGTGAAGATCAAAATAATTTTTCATTTTGCCATAATTCCTTTTAATTTAATAATTAAGTTTGCATAAACATTAAGTAATGCACTGGTCCAAACTAAATGTCTTTGAATATCCATTAGAATTTACCTATAACTCTTAGTTTATAAAGAGTGGGGCAGTCTTTTTAAACTTAGGCAGTAAGCATATTCCAATATCAACTATTGGTCAAACACCATTTTGACAGTCAATTTTTTGAAATATTAAGTCAATTCAGCTCGACTTGACTATGAAAATATGAGCATAATGTCACTTTAATTCAGACCCTCTTCAATCCAAACAAAACTATTTTCCTTTACCTCTGCCAATTTCAAAACTGACACAAAACCTTTCTTCAGCCAACAAAAGACCTTCTTCACTTTGAACAAGACTATTTTCTTTTACTTCTGCCAATTTGAGAATCTGTTTAATTTCCACACTATTGTATATATTTTAACTGCAAAGTTAGACCCTGTTCAGTCGAAATAAGACCCTGTTCAGCTGGCAAAAGACTGATTAATATTTAATTGATTTTTTGCCAGTTTAAGAGTTACATGACTGTAATTATATTAATGTCAGTTTTGCCAATTTCAGACCATGCTCAACCTTCAGAGAACTGTATTTAAGTTTTCAGACATAGTTACAGTGTAGTTCAATTAAAACATGACATCATTGTTAACCTTGCCAATTTTAGACCCTGTTCAGTCCTTAAATTTGCCAATTTCAGACCCTGTTCAACCCAAACAAGACTGTGGTAAAGATGTTTGTTGTGATGTATGACCTCTCTGATATGCCAGCCAATTGCCAAACATTTCTTCGTCAACGCACCATGTATACACCTGTAGACACAAACAGCACGGATCCATCATACCTCCGATATTTGATACATTTAAGGTAGGCTATGCCTCTCATGAAATATTTATTTTCATACCAGTTGATGAATATAAATCCTGTAGAAACAACTTAAATCTTCCGTTTATTATACTGTATACATTTGTTCTCTTTTTATGTTGTAACAATTTGAAAGACTTTCCCCTTTAAATTTTGTGTATTGCTGGGATTTAGGAGAAAGTAGTCCGGCAAGACACCAGTGAACATACAAAAAATATGACTCACAGCAGTGAAAATTGAATTTTTACAGTGAAGATATTGAAAATGAAAATACGCATTTTATTTGATCAATACTTCACAATATTTCTTTTAAAAGTATATAACAAATATATTCTTCTTTACCCATATAACTGTCGAAGATGTAAAGTTACTGACCGCCTGAACCCTTTATAAAACACTGCTAAAATTTAGTGGTGCAGAACCACATGAGAGCTAAAATTTAGTGGTGCAAAATTTAGTGGTGCGTAACTGCATGATAGGTAGCTAAAATTTAGTGGTGCATAACCACATAATAGGTTATTAGAATTTAGTGGTGCATAACCACATGGCCAATGCTCTCCCTATTGAATTAAACAGATGGTCTAAACAGATCATAAATTTACCGACAATATGGGTTTAATGGAAAATTTGAGTTTTGCAATATTCTTAGTTAGATGTTAAAACTGTGACGCTATTTATCATAAAAATTATAATGATGTTTTTTTTATTTTCTTTATCCCTAGGTTTCAGAGTAGTAAATCAGGTAAAATATATCTGCATACTGACATTCGATTGATTTTTGCACGAGACAAATTTGAATTTGACCCGCAAGTGGCCAACTACGAACTGCGATCTTTCACAGAGGGACCCGAGAACCCAAAATTCTCTCCAAAGCGATAACGATTGTGAAAATTAGGAAGCAAAATTATTTTAGATTAGTTAAGCATAGTTTATAGGTATTTATTAATGAAGTAGCTATCACATATTGTTTTAGTACCCATATAACCATGCAATATTTCATAATATGTTATTAAGGCATCAGTGGCCCAGTGGTTTAGGTTGTTAACTTCAAACCACTTGCCCCTCTCCGGTTTTGGTTTTAGTCATGCCAGGGACTTAAGATTCTTTCATTTTAGGAAGCTATCCAGCTAGCTCAAGAAACAGTGATGGTTCTAATCAGGTGTCCCCTTATGCCTGAAATAATGCACAGAGAGGCACCTGCATCAATTAAGCAGGAAAGTCGCAATATGACCTCTTCAGTGTTAGTGCAACGTAAAACACAACCAAAATACATTTTTGCTAGTACTTCTTTAAGTATTCTTTTCCACGATAATTCCATTAATCACTTACAATTGTAATTAAGGCTATATATTCAGTATGTTATGAACATGCCATTTGTGTCATTATAGCTTTGACGTTTCTTTGTATCAAATATGACACATTTACAATGTAATTGGTTACACTTGCAGAATATTGAAATTACATGTTATCGATTACACATGTAGAATAACTTGTTTACATGTAATTGATTGCTCATGTAGAAAAAGCGCCAATGGCCGATCGGTTAAAGTAGTTGACTTCAAATCATTTGCCCCTCACCGCTGTGGGTTAGAATCCTGACAGGGACTTTGGATTCTTTCATGTGAGAAAGCTATCCAGCTAGCTAACTAAAAGTCTGTGGTTCTACTCTGGTGCCCGTTCATGCCTGAAATAATGTACGGAAGGGCATCTGAGGTCTTCCTCTACCAGTAAAGCTGGAAAGAATCCAAAGTCCCTGTCAGGATTCTAACCCACAGCAGTGAGGGGCAAATGATTTGAAGTCAACTACTTTAACCGATCGCCATTTGACCTATATTGCGTCAATGTGACGTAAAACCCAATCAAACAAACAAACACATGTAGAATGACTTGTTTGCTTGTAATTGATTACACAATGTAGAATGTCTCATTTTCATGTAATTGGTTTTTAAAGCCATGTCATCAATTTTGTATGTGATGTCACAATTATATTGTAACTGATTACACAGTCAGAATGTCACATGTAAATGGTGTCACAACAACATGTCAAAAAATTAATTTAATAGGAATTTTACGGTAATCATCATAATTGTTTGTGATTTTTTTATTTATTTTTTTCAATCAAAGAAATGCAGATGAAAAATTGGTTTTTTTTGGCCATGATTATGTTTAGTGATCAGACAGTTATATAGGTACTGTTATTTGAATTGTAATTGCTAAAGTAATTAGTTTTAAATTTGAAATATTCTGGTCGTAGAGGGAAAGTGGTACTTTTCCATTTTAGCTCATGTTTTCCACTAATTTCTAGTTTTCTGATCATTTTTAGCTCGACTATTCGATAAGAATAAGTAGAGCTATTGCAGTCACCCGAGCGTCGGCGTAACCACTTATGTTAAAGTTTTTGTAATAGTTCAAATATTTTCAAAGTCCATAGACATATGGCTTTGAAACTTTGCACACTTGTTCACCATCATGACCCCAACCTGTAGACAGGAGGAGGTAACTGTATCAAGCATTTTGACAGAATTATGCCCCTTTTTCGACTTAGAATTTACGTTAAAGTTTTTGTAATAGTTCAAATATTTTCAAAGTTGATTGACATATGGCTTTGAAACTTTGCACACTTATTCACCATCATGACCCCAACCTGTAGACAAGAGGAGGTAACTCTATCAAGCATTTTGACAGAATTATGCCCCTTTTTCGACTTAGAATTTACGTTAAAGTTTTTGTAATAGTTCAAATATTTTCAAAGTCCATTTACATATGGCTTTGAAACTTTGCAATCTTGTTCAACATCATGACCCCAACCTGTAAACAGGAGGAGGTAACTGTATCAAGCATTTTGACAGAATTATGCCCCTTTTTCGACTTAGAATTTACGTTAAAGTTTTTGTAATAGTTCAAATATTTTCAAAGTTGATTGACATATGGCTTTGAAACTTTGCACACTTGTTCAACATCATGACCCCAACCTGTAAACAGGAGGAGGTAACTGTATCAAGCATTTTTTTTACTATCAAGCACTAAGAATAGTCGAGCGTTGCTGTCCTACCGACAGCTCTTGTTGACTAAAGCAAATGAAGTAGATTTAAATTGTTATTATTTTTATTTCCAATGATGGCAGTCTTGAAAAGTAAAAAAAATAACCCACAAGAATTAAATTGGACACGATGGAACTTTATGGCACCTAAAGGATTACTAATGAAATGTTGAGAATTACGTTTATTACAACTTTGTTGAGAATTACTTTTGTCACAGTTACAACATTTCATTATACTGCTAAAAGGTTCGGCTTTATTATTTATCAAGACAAGAGGAGGTCAATTTTCAAACATTTACTTTTTTCTGCAATTTCTGTTTTATTTAGACATTTATTTTCCCCTTTTTTTCAAAATAAAAGATTGTTAATTTCAACATTTTCTTGTATTTTGTGTTGTATTTCTTTTTATTGTCAACTTTTACCCAACTTTATTAAGATATAATTGTGTTTTTTAAGAACATGGTTTTTTATTCTATTTGTTAAGTTTTGAAGAAATCAACATTTTCCATCTTCTGTTATATAAGATAAATCATTTTAGATATTTTATAATATTATTTGAAAACAAAAAAATAAGCATATTTAACGTTATACAGATATTTGCCCCCACGCCCAGGGCTTCTTCCCCCATTCTAAAAAATGGATGTTTGTCTCGCAGTAGAAATATTATCTTGGTTATATCTCCCACCCACCCCCAGAAATTAAAAAAAAAGAGAAACCTTAAATTGAAGTTATGGGGCAAATGTCAAAGAATACATTTTTAAACTGGGGAACATGTGCCCTTGGGGGAGTTGGAGGGATGGCAGCAAATGTCCCAGGTCACGTATTTTTCCGAACTTTTGATGGATAAGCATCTACTCCTTTATGTTCAGAAATAATCAGATTTAGACATTTGCCCGCTTTGCATTATGAGCTAGACCAGGTGAAAGAATGTTTCCCTCTATTATAAAGAAATTGTCCTGAACATTTTCCCTCTTTTGATAAGATGATGTTAGTTATAAACATTTGCCCACTTTTAAGAGTTATTTTTAAACATTTGTCCATCTTGTGATTTTTTATTAAGAATATTGGCTTTAAGCGTTGGCCCAGTCATTTTTAAGATGTATTTAATAGATTTTTTTTTAAATAAACTTTTTGTCAAGACAAGTTAATTTTAGACATTGGTACACTTTTGTTAAAGAAGTAGTTAATATTTTTTTTAGTTATAAAAAGCCTTTAAGAAGTTTATTCATATTAAACATATGCCCAACTTTAGTTAAAGGAAAAGTTTTGTTTTAAACATTACCCCATTTCTGTTATTGAAGTAGGTAGTTTAGCAATTTTTGCACTTTTGTGTTGAAATTTAGTTGATTTTAAATCATTTTCACCTTTGACCTGCTAGAAGTAAATAGGGGATATTAAACCAGTAATTGTTTAATACTGAATTTATTGAACGAGTTGAATAAAATTATATCATGCATGCCCCTAGCAAGCATGATATTATTTTATTCAACAAGTTCAATCATCTTTTAAAAGTATATTGTGCCCATATTTGTATAAAAATGATTTATTGTGACATATTCTATTTAAAGTGTTGAAATATTCATACATGTATTTAGCATAATTGATACTTAATACCTAAACAATAAAATCTGCTAAAAATCACGTCAAAATATATGCACTGCTGTGCAATACCATTTTTGCGGAGTCCCAAAAGCGGCAAAGGTATGTGATAAATTAGGTTAAATCAGAAAATATTGTTGTAAAAACAGCCATATTATGAATTATTATACAAAATAGGATTTTTTCCCCATTTTTTTTTTGGGGGGGGGGGGGGCAAAAAAATAAAGCGTTTTAGCCATTCGGAATAGGTTTGTCGACTTGACCTATCTGAAGCAAGGGGAAACAACACTGGTTAAGTAGGTTTGGTTTTGTGGTAATGTGTACAGAAATTTTCTGTGTAAAAGTTACAAGGTACATGTACATTTTTTGCGAATTGTAAAATTTGGGCAGAATGTACCTTTAAAGGGGCTCCACTGAGGGTTTTTTAACACGCCAGATCTGGAAATATTTTTCTGTGATTTGTGTACCATTTGATGTAGGACTGGACTAATAACTTAAAAATTGTGAGATCAGTACCTCACTCTCTGTTTTTGTTTTTTCAGAATTTTTTTTTTTGAGCAAATAAAAAGCATTTTTTTTTGTTTTTTTTTTTTTTTTAAATTGGACAAGAAGCGCACAAATATTTGATTTTCTATTTAATATTAGAATATTTCAATACAGTACAATATTTCAATACAGTAGATTTTTTTCATTTTAAGTGATCCCTTTGATCTATGTTATTGTTCCAAATTTTTATGTTTTTTTAGGCTTTTTGACCTCAGTGGAGTTCCTTTAATGGTAACTTAGTAAGTTATTCCATGTAAATATTAACATATGTTACTCATTCATTCCATAATATAGATCATTTTATGCAAGTATACATGTTAAGTTATTTATTTAAAAATGTGTTTTTAAATTGTTTGCCTAATGCCCCTCTTCCTTGAAATTGTTAAATCTAACGTGACCGTCTTCACTCTGTTTTGACATGTTCTTTCAGTTGATATAAGTATGAGTTAACATATATTTAACTTTTTTAGCAAGTAAAAATTGCTTTTTTTATCTGTCATATTTGAGAGAGAGAAAATAGTTCATGACTTGATGATATCGGTTGGAAATATTTATAAATTTGCTTGTGATGTGCTTGATTGTAGTTAATTCTTTTGGTTGAATGTTATATTGTTATATTATCTTGAGTGAATTAACCTTATATAGCTTTTTATGGATTTATTAAATCTGGAAATATATAAGTAAGTCTTTCTTGTATTTATTTATTCATTTTCAAAATTAAAAGCTGCATAAAGTATATTTGAATAAAAAAAAACAACATTTTTCCATTTTATGATTTTGTGCCCGACTAAAATTGTAATACTCTCAACTTTAGTATCTGCTCTGATGGCATGGACTGAAGGTTTCAATTTCAATTTTATTTACAATAACACTCAGTTTGTATAATATACAAAAACATGAGCAAATCAAATATGAACAGAACAGATCTTTTATTTCTGATTTGTACATAGTACATCATCATATACATATCATAATAATATTTGAGTAACATGTAATTTTCAGTGCAATCAATATAAAGAAATTAATAAAATAAATAATATAAAGAGATTAATAATTGTAATTGTAACAATTGTCATTGTTCAGATATTTGTTATTAAGCCTCAGTTAAGTGAGGATGAACATATTTAAGAAGAAAAATCAATATCAAAACTAATTTTTAATCTATCATTAAACTTTATTTTTAATAAACTAAATTTTGATCTATCATTGAACATTATTTAACACTGTAGTTCTAATAGTCATAGCATTTTTGTAATATAGTGCTAATTTACATAGCTCATTTCTATTATTACTTTGCAGCAATGCAATAAATTTGTACATACTTGGGTTAACAAAATAATATCTTTTAATATAAAGGGTACGAATACTTGTATAACATGGACATATAAGAACAAAATGAAATTCATCTTCTAAGTCTCTTAAAGAACAACATTGACAATACCGTTCATTTCTTTGTATTCTATTTCTGGCATATCTACCAGTTTGTATTCTTAAGCTGTGTGCAGAAGTTCTTAATCTAGTAATAAGTCGTCTCAAATGATCGGGCAA